GGTGGGGCGTAGCTCGGGGGTCTCCTCAGGGCAGCGTGACCGCCTCTGACCACGTCTCCGTGCAGACGCAGGCGTGAGGACAGCCGTGTGTCTCCTGATGCAGTCGAGCTGGTTGGGGGGGGCTTTGCTCTGAGGGGAGCAGGAAGCGGCCAGACGCCCCGCGGCCGTGTGACTCACAGGTGGAGTTAGGTCCTTTCTGTCCCGGCGCGAATCCGCACGCGTGTACAGGCGCGGGGACGGTCTGTGGGGACGCAGACGCGGGGCTTCCTCCCGAGTGTGGTCTTGCGTCTGGGGGAGCAGCAGGCGCCTCCCGACTCCCGCGCCGTGTCCTCCTGCGTCCTCGCCTCGTTCCGGAGCCGTGTACAGCTGCTGACCGGCGTCTGAGAGGAGAGCTTTACATGGAGTTAACTTGGGGTCGCTCCCGGAATAGGTGACAGTTAACCCTGTTTAACCACGGTAAACCCAGGAGGCAGCGATCTTCAGAACTCATAAGCTGTGTTTACGGGGAAATTTGTTTCTTACTTTGCTGACATCTTGTGGCCAAACACAGGACAGTTGCAGGAGGACAGTTGCCCAGGTGCTGAAATACTTTCCCGACGTTATTAAGGTACAGCCGACCTCCCACAGCGCGAGTCCGAGGTGTGCAGAGTGACCGCCACGGCAGCGTTAACTGGCCCGTGCCACGTCGCGTAATCCCCTCCTTTTGGGGTGACGCCATCTGAAACCTCTCAGCACCTCTCGGACTTGCTGGATCCTGCGGCGTCTCCACTTTCGTTGTTTTGAGGGCCCCCAGGCTGCNGTGACGCCATCTGAAACCTCTCAGCACCTCTCGGACTTGCTGGATCCTGCGGCGTCTCCACTTTCGTTGTTTTGAGGGCCCCCGGGCTGGTTTCCATAGCGGCTGCACCAGTTTATAATCACACAGTTTTAACAACTGAGTGAGACCTAGTCCCGCACTAACGGGTCGTTGTCATTACTCTTGGGTCCGGTTTTACGTAATTTTAACTTCCTTCCCTCTCGCCAGAGTAACTACTTGGTGTTCATGGCGGAGCTCTTCTGGTGGTTTGAGGTGGTGAAGCCGTCCTTCGTCCAGCCCCGAGCTCTCCGTCCACAAGGAGGTACCAGCCTTTCGGCCGAGGTGTCCGGGGACCAGGCGAATGGGACGTTCACGTTCCTCGCTTGGCCATTCTTTCAGTGGGAAACCCGCTGTTAGCCTCGGTAGCGTCTGGATATCCAGCTATGTAAAGCGTCCGTCTCAATTCTCCGAGAGAGTCAGACGACGTCGGAGGGAAAAGGGGGCGGAGGAACCAGCCGTGAACTTGGGGCCTATACTGACGGGCTTTCAGCTCTAACTGCTGGTTCTCTGCACCCTCCCCCGTCCCCGCAGTCATTCCCTTAGACTCCGAGTTTTTAACATTGTGGCCCCGATTCCACTCGGATTACAGCTCTCAGGTTTAATCTCTCATTTCACTTTGCCGTCAAACCATAAAAAGGAGAGAGAGTGTGTGTGTGAGTGAAATGCAGTAGGTTCTGCAGTTGCTAGACTGTCATGTGAACCTTCCCTAAGGCCATTAAGTCAAGTCAGGTGCCTTGAGTGCCCACAACGATCATAACCGACAGTTAAACGTAGACTTTTCACAGGCACTGCTTTCCCTGGTTTCATCTCTGAAGCCCACTGGTATTTACAAAAACATGAACTATACCAGGGGGGTTAATTATTAGCCAATGAAATTCTCTCTTAGTTTATTAGCAAAATACCCATAATTTCGTAAAGAAGCAAAAATGGCCTTGCGTCACAGAAGTTCTAGGAAAGCTTTAGCAAAACCAGACACTCAGATTTATTTTCGTTTTAAATATCTGTAGTCGTTTTGTTAGGCCTTCCCCCCTCCCCCCAGTTAGCCTTCATCGGGTGAATTTAAGCCGGAAGAATGTAAGGAAAACTCGACCTTATGAAAATTGTCTAAGAAGAGAGTTTTAAACGTGCTACGATTTCTCTATGCGTAATAAGGGAAATNTTTAAGCCGGAAGAATGTAAGGAAAACTCGACCTTATGAAAATTGTCTAAGAAGAGAGTTTTAAACGTGCTACGATTTCTCTATGAGTAATAAGGGAAATTGAGATTAAATGTAAACCTAGCTGTGGCCTGGAATCTTGATATTGGAGATGCGCTGCCAGTGTGGTTCTGAGGGTTTTCATCTTTCGTCGTAGTTGAGCCTGAGCCCGGCCTGGCTTCAGTGCTGGCCCCGGACGCCGGAGGAAACACCTTGGACAGCTCCCTCGGTCCCGCCAGGTGGGCTGCCCTGTTCGGTCACTAGTGGAATCAAAGGACAATCACGTTACAGTCGAGGTTCAGATTTCAGTTGGATTATGAACTAAATTGGCTACCTTATTAAAGCCTATTTGAACTTAAACATAATTGAAAATTATACTGAAATCTTTTGTGAATTGTTTGTCAACAGAAAATAATGTTCATATCTTCTCAAGGACATTGAGTTGTAGATGGAAGTATTTCATGCTCTTTGGCTAAAAGACAAAATATGTAGAGATACATGTAATCACAGCCATTCTTTGGTTTAAAAATGTATTGTTTTCCTTAATTTATTATTAATGAGGATGAGAGTCAGGTGATAGTGTTTCTGGTTCCAGCCGTTCTGTGAGAAATTTACTTTAAAGGGCTGACACTGTAACGGTTGCGGGTTTTGCGTTGCAGCGGGGAGGCAGCTGTGTTCCCTCACCTCCATCATCTGCCTTCTAGACACGCGCGTCCCCAAGCTCATTCTTCAGCCTCAGGTAATGTATTTGAAATAGTCGGGGAAATGCCATTTCAGTGGGTTAACTGGGAAATTGTTGAGAATAAATGCAAACAAACACATCCCATCTTTTTTTTTTCCCGAAACATGTTATATACACACTAAAAGGTTGATTTGTTTGCCTTTGCTTGCTTTTCTTAATAAAATGATCTCTGTTTCTCAGTATGTACCTTTTAGGGCTATTAATAAATCCTCAAATATATGAAATCTGTTATATTGCTATAAGTTAAAATTTTTTACACAGTTTCAATGACTTTTTTTTTGCATTTGAAGGAGGAATTAGAAGGTCTTCATCTATGTCTTATGTCGATGGCTTCATAGGGACATGGCCCAAAGAGAAAAGGTAAACAATTATATTAGTGTGTTCACATTATCAAGAACTGCTAATTCTCTCTGTCCCTTTTTTTGTTAGCCGAATTGCAGTAGACTTTTACTTAGTACCTAAATTTGAAAAGAGCAACATAGGCAGGTGACAGATCAGAGGGGCTACAGGCAGAAGGTCACCTCATGGCCCTAACCTGACCTTCGGGACGGTATGATTGAGAAGTCAGCCCTCCGAATCCGCGAGTCCCACATCCTCGGATGCAACCAACCGCGGATGGAAAATATTCAGGAAACAAGAAGCTACACTGTTGCTAATGTGTCCTGTGTAGTCAGGCCTATGCCTGTAACATGTACAGACTTTTTCTTTTCATTGTCCCTTAAGCGATACAGTGTAACATTTCCACAGAGTTTACATTGTATTGGGGATTCTAAGTCTCTGGAGATGATTTAAAGTACGCAGGAGGGTGTGCGTAGGTTACTTGCAAATACTACACCGTTTATAGGAGGGACCGGAGCATCCTTGGATTTTGGTGTCCAAGGGACATCCTGGAACCCATCCTTCGAAGATGCTGAGGGACAACTGTGATTATAATTAATTGTTCATGATATAAAATCGTTTCTTTTGTGGCTTATTTAGGGATCTTCTCTGAATTTTTTAGGTCATCAGTGCATGGAGTTTCGTTTGACATTTCTTTTGATAAAGAGGATACCGTACAGAGGTGCACTCCGGGCCGAGGAATCCCTCGCTCTGTCAGCAACGAGGGACTTTCTCTGAACAACAGCCGTGGGTCTAGGAACGTCAGGAAGAGTCTGTCCTTCAAGCCCGTCAATGGAGAAGAGGGAGCAGGAAGCATCGAGGAGGAGCTGAACGTGGACTCGGGCGGGGACTTCCCCACCTACGTGCCCCATAACATGCACCAAAGGAATTCCACCGAGAACGTTCGATGCCGGCTTCCCAACGGAGCCCTGCAGACCAGAGCTGCCCCGGACGAGGCTGGCAGTCCGATGGAGACGCCGAGCATCGAGGAGGCGCTGCAGATCATCCACGACACGGAGCAGCCCCCCCGCGCCACCCCGCCCGACTCCATTGCCAACGGCTTCTTCCTGCACAGCCAGGACCTGAGTCCCCTGAACGGAAACCTCAGGCTGTGTCAGTCTAGTCCCGATCCCGTGACCGACGGCAAAGGTGCCCCGAGCCCCGAGACGGACGACACCGAGGTAGACACGGGCATCCACGTTCCTTCGGAAGACCTCCCGGGCACGGTGGACGAAGACTCCTCCCTGCGCGACTACACCGTGAGCTTAGACTCTGACATGGACGACGCGTCCAAGTTCCTGCAGGACTACGACCTGCGCGCGGGCGGCGCCCGCGAGGCCCTGAGCCCCTGTCCCAGCACCGTGAGCACCCGCTCGCAGCCGGGCAGCAGCGCCTCCTCCAGCTCCGGGGTCAAGATGACCAGCTTCGCCGAGCAGAAGTTCCGGAAGCTGAACCACACGGACGGGAAGAGCAGCGGGAGCAGCTCGCAGAAGACGACCCCGGAGGGCTCGGAGCTGAACATCCCGCACGTGGTGGCCTGGGCGCAGGCGCCGGAGGACACGGGCCCGGCCCCTGGCCGGGACAGCACGCAGCTGCTGGCCTCCGAGGTGCTGCAGCTGCGGATGCGGCTGGAGGAGAAGCGCCGGGCCATCGAGGCCCAGAAGAAGAAGATGGAGGCCGCGTTCACCCGGCAGAGGCAGAAGATGGGCAGGACGGCCTTCCTCACCGTGGTGAAGAAGAGGGGGGACGGGAGCGCCCCGCTCCGGGAGGAGGCGGCCGGGGCCGAGGACGAGAAGGGGCACAGCGACCAGGCGCCCGAGAGGGAGCCGCAGGGCACGGGCGCGCAGAGGAGCCGGCCCCTGGCGGGCATCAAGGAGAGCGCGGAGGGCCCGCCCGCCGGGTGGCCCACGTCACCCACGACACCTGTGGACCCCGAGAAGCAGTGGGGGCTGGCGAGCCCCTCGGAGGAGCCGGCGGGCGAGGGGGAGATGCTGGAGTACACGCGGTCCATCGAAAAGCTGAACGCGTCCCTGCACTTCCTGCAGCAGGAGATGCAGCGCCTGTCGCTGCAGCAGGAGGTGCTGATGCAGATGCGGGAGCGGCAGGCCTGGGTCATCTCCCCGCCCCAGCCCTCCCCCCACAAGCA